TGTGTATGTGTAGCCACACTGTGTACATGTGGAAGTTCACGAAGATAGCAATATAAACGATTTCTAGTGAAGTATGTGATTGTTAATCGAACGTCAATCAAACGGAATAGCCGACATCGAACCACACAGTTATTACTGGGAAGTGACTTTTGCTCTGATATCATGTTATTACGCGTGTGTACCTCCTCCGCCCCGCGCCCCGCGCCCCACCCCGCCCGCTACCCTCTAAGACAGATGGTTGAGGGCACGTCATGTCGAAGGGGTGGTTAGATTTATAGTTCTTTGTGTTTTATATCATCATACGTAATAAGCCTTAGCGAACTAAACATACGAGTTACATACACTTCCCTAAGTGATGAGGTACCCATCTCAACTTTCTTTCCTCTTCCTCCAATGAGAAATAGTTTAGTGCCAAAGCTCTCTGGAGTCTGGACTCACCTCAATACGTTGAAAGGCTGTATAGCTGTGCACCGCACAGCGTCATTAACATCGCGGCTGTTTGTCTCGCAAATACTTTTAACCGTGGCGACCGAGTCAGACCCACCGTCCGCAGCTACACAAAGTATACTGTACAAAACTTTCGTGGAAATTACGAGCTCCGCGGCTTTAACAACGTTTCCTGGACACTTACTGCTTCACAGCAGACGACAGATCGAAATGTAAATAAAAACATTTGTATAGATGTATTTACATTTACATCCTGGACGGATGTGTACAATTTATTTAATTTATATACCTATTATATTATACTATTACTATTTATATACATATTATATACCTTTGACTTCTTTATGTGTACATTTCAAAATATCGTGGATTCTGCTCTGCACTTTTAGTTCTCCTTACAGTCTCGTAGTCTTGGCTTGTTCTCATTTTGTGGTTGAACTATAAATACTCGAATCTTGTATTTCCATGGCTCGAACTATACATTACCTGCTCGTTTGTAACAGTGTAACAACAAGCTTTGCTTACCAAGTTTCTGCGCGGCGACACCTTGCCAATTACTTACTGACAAATGCGATATTTTTTTAAATTAGTATTTTACTAGTGTTCATATCAGGTAAACATGTTTCATTTTCACAAAGGCTTTAAAAACCTGCCTCATACAATGGCCTCAACTTCAGAAATAAGCTATAATACACAAAGTAAATAAATATGTGCTCAAATCAGAGGAGTACACGAATAAATATGGGACAGATACGAAATCTGGGATAAAGATAAATCGCTCGTAAAAAGCATGTTTCGTATTTATTTAAAGATTATCTATAAACTACTCCCCTCCCCTCCCCGTACCCACCCTCCGGCTGGGTCGTCACGCGTGCACAAACCCGTCACTCGTACATTTGCGGGCTCTTCTGTAAATACGTGTTGAGGTACAAGCGACCGGAGGGTACCTGTGTTCCTTTCTTACGTTGTACGTTTGTCGCAAAATCGTATAAAAGCAGTTATCAATGACATCATGCAGTCAGCGTATAATATTATAATCTCGTAGGACAACGTTCCCCAGCCCGCTCACGTTACTATCGAAATGCCTTGTAAAAAAGTCGGTTTATTCAAGCATCAGTTAGCTAATATATCCCCACTACACCCGAGTACACGGAGCGCCGCTGCCCCCCCTCACTTGGCCCACGTGTGGTCAGTACATTCACGAGTCGCATAAAAAGCGTCGGCTGCTTATGCAAATTTCTGCATAATTATGCACATTTTGTGTTTAAATCTACATTTTTAGCGCCGTGGGTAAAGTGCAGTCGTGGCCACAGCTTGTTTAACTCAATTTACGAGCACGTGGCCGCCGGTACTGCGGTTCATAACCCGATAAGGATCCTCTGAATAAAGTTTAACCGAGATAAATGGTCGTTCCTTAAAGAATATTAAACTTATAAATAAAAGGCTGCCTTCAGTAAATTCGTTTTGATATTATCTTTGTGTTGTAAACTTTGTGATAAAAATTTAGACATTACATCAGACTTTTATTCCCTCGGGGAATCAGTAGAAGCCTATTTGCAGCTTGAATACAACCTGGCTACTAGGACACAGGTCCGTATATATAGTATATTTAGATAGATAAGGATATCAGTTCATGTGACGCCGTGTTACGTAAATCGGTACACAGGGTGGTGATCATCCAATCAAGCTCGCTAGCTGCTCCCAACTGTTATTGTAGTCTAGCGAACCTCTACCGCATGAGATAAGCTGAACTGTCAGGAATAAGCCCAAGCAAATAGATACTAGTCATAGCCTCGTTTGATCCGATTGAGCAGTATTATAACTCACTTTAAATCTACCTGTGTATAGTATATTAGTACAATATTTAAGCAAACAGAATTATTCCCCGCAGTGCAGAACCGCTTGCTTTATTTAAATATTTTAGGCATTTTCGTCGGTTAATAAACTGTGGCACGAGAAGCACGTCAGTACGTGAGCAAGTTTTAAAAAATAACTTGCTTTATGTATGTGTTTTTTCGTTAACGAAATCTTATATTTATTTATGATCATTGTTTCATTGTTTCATTGTAAGATTCTTATTTAATTAAACCATCGACTCAGAGGCTACGATGTGCTAAAGAAACAAAGATCTAATAAATGGGTTGCTATGGCGTGCTTCACTCAAGAACTTAATACACAATAGATAGCAGTAAGTTGTAATGTTTCAAAGTATTTTTTCATACAACCTCTCACAGATCAAGCGAGCAGCTTCTAGCAAACTTATTTAGTGCAAACCTTTTTTATGCAGATTACAGCCTCCAGCCTGCGACGTCAATCCAGATGATTCTCGTTCCAACGGGAATTAAAAAATTCTCTCTATATAGTTAGTTCATTCCGTTGTTTTTCTTAGAAAACATTGACTTCTGTGGTCTGAACTCGATTTCTATTTAGGTACAAGAAAGTATTATTTAGTCATTGAATTGAGATGGCAAAAAGATTGTAAATGTATTGAAAGTGTAGTATATATTGGTTTTAATGTGAATCGTTTGAGTCAAAACCATGACAAGAAAGCTCAAAGTTCCCAGCCCCATGTTAGAGAGGGTATTGATGGGCGCCTCGCCTGCAGGCTCGAATTCACCCGCCAATACATAACCGGGGCAAGGTTAACTAGGATCACACAATGCAGCGCGCCCCGCGCCCCTTCCCCCGCGCCCCGCCGCCTACTATCACAAAACATGGCAGACCTCTCGACTCACATCTAATTTCGTTGCGAACTCTTTGACATAACCACATCACATTAGGTTTGCACACGCGCGGGACATACGGACACACACTTTGAACGGGGACGCTGATTGCAAAGTTGTTAGTATTAGATATTTGGGATGAATAGTTTTGTAACGCAATGCACGTACTGACCTACATCCTACATTAATATATCCAATAACGTAATGTGCATAAACCGATTATCGGAATATAATACAATTTAGTTGCACATTAGCCATTAATTAATATAACAACAAGGTTACAGCGACAGTGCTGCGCTGATTTATAGCGCGGCCCGTACCTGGAAATGATAAGCTGATGCATAAATTATCGTTAATCTAATTTAATTCCATGTTTGTTTACTCTGCGAAGATAATCAAATAACCAGTTAGCTGTAATGTGTGCTGTAATTTGTAATGAGAAAGTTGTTGATAACAGGATAATACTTCGTGGCATCGGAGAGAGTTCGGTCTGTCTCGCTTCGTTACGGCAGCACGTGGTCACGCGCACGCTCGCAGCAGACTGTCCGTGTGTGGTTCTCCTTTCCACGGAAATTGCCGCTTCTGTAAATTCAATGGCAACGCTCCCCTCCTCCCGTCACTCGTGCTGGGAAACTTTTTAATTCCAGTGTAAACAGAACAAAAGTTGGCTCGCTTTAATTCGATACGTGAATTATTCATATGTACGAGTGCCATTACTCCATTAGCAGTCGCGTTAATATTCACTTGGGTATTATCATTTTACACCGCACACGTACACAAGTTTAAACCTTCGCTACGTGTTAGAAGGTTCAGTTTTGAATGTTACGAATGTTTTCAAGACATGTGAATTCGGGAAATTGCTTATGAAGAAGGAAAAGTTTGAATTATTGTTATTGTACAAGTTTTGTATTTTAATGTTAGTTTAATCGTCGTGTAACTTATCTGCGGAGTATCAAACTGATTGAACAGTTCGGGAAGAGTCCATAGCCGACGGGAATAACATAAGGTTTCATTACATTATTGCTTTTACCGCCCACGTGGTGTATGTCGATCGCAACAACAGTAATACATTCACAGCCATAATTCACACGTATTTGTAGTGAATGTTATGTTGTGTACAAGTAATTCCCAGGAAAAACATATCAACTTATGTGTGTAATGTAGATTGTCGTGTGTCACAGCTCACATTACGCTATCCTCGGAGATGTATCACAGATGAACTTGACACGGCGCCACTGCCACGCGGCGGCCATCTTTGTAAAAACTGCTAATGGTGATTGGTTCGCTAAATGAACTCATTTAGCTCAACTACATTTATATGGAAACCTATTTGTCTTTATCGGTTGCTAAAGTAATTTTCTTTCGCCGAGAGAGTTGTAGCGCCGAGTAAATCGAGTGTTTTTGTTATTGACGTGACGTAACAACAACACGGAGACTCGAGTGTCACTAACGTATAAAGGGACTGTACTGCGAGTATATTTCAGTTGATTCTTATATAATATTTAGTCAATGGTTAAACGAGGCCGGTCATGTTTGGAAATAATACAATTAGGTAATATTCCGGGTTGGAATAATAAAGTACATATAGACCATTATATAAATATACTAGCGGTCGCCCGCGGCTCCACCCGCGTGGTTGTCGATTTCACACTTTTCAAGTTTTTTTTTAAATTTTCTCTACTTACAAACCTTTTCTGGGCTCACTTTGTCATTAATGAAACTCATTCACAGTAACAAATTATATTTATATTATACTAAATTTGTAAGTGCTACTATTTAATGATTGAGTAGTGTGATAAGCATTCCTTTAGTAAGACAATTGAAACAAATCTTACATAAATAAATAAAACTTCACATTATTAAATAAAAAAATTGACCATATTTAGTTATCAAGTTTATAAACATGGCTGTGTACCAACATGGTATTTAACAGAATAATTATTGTGAAAAGTTTATAGATTTAAAGTACCAGTCCGCCTGAGGATCATACCAATCCAGAACTTGTTTATCGTACCAGACGTAGGCACCTTTAATACTTGCAGGAGCATCCAGCACCATGTATAGAGGAGTTTCTGCAGCTTGATCTGCGTCCAGGAAGCCGACACCCTTCGTCATATCAGTGCGCACCAGACCAGGGTGCATGGAGTTCACGATGATGTTCCTCCCGTCCAGCTCCCGTTGCTGTATGATAGTTAGTGCACTGACTGCCACCTTCGCCACTCTGTACGCCGCTATCGTACCCTCGTCCGCAAAATCTGCCCTGATGAAGGTACCATTCTTCACAGCTTCCAGGTGCCAGTTGACAAACTCATTAATATCCTCCACTGTTAAGTCTTTACTTGACAGTCTTTTGATCCAGTATTCATTCCTAATATTCGACAAATGTCCGCAATCGCTAGAAATATTCAAGATGCGTCCATTGTCTCTAACCAGCGGGTACAAGTACTCCTGTATGATGAAGAAGCTGAAGTAGTTGATGTCGATGATGTTCTTGCTCTCCTCGTAGGAGAGGTACAGGTCTGTGCAGTTGCAAATAGCTGCGTTGTTGATGAGGATGTCGATGCCTCCATATTTGTCTCTGACGTAGTCCCTGAACTTGGCGACACTGCTCCGGTCTGTCACGTCGAGCTGGTGATACTCTGGATGTAGACCGAGAGCGTTAAGTTTGGCTACAGCTGCCTTGCCTCTGCCATCGTCACGAGAGGTGAGGAACACTACTCCATCGAACCTCTTCAGTAGTCCTTTGACAGTGGAGAAGCCGATGCCCTTGTTGGAGCCGGTGACCACAGCCACTCTCACCATGTCTGCGTGCAAACGTAAACGGAGCGCCGCGGCTACTGAACAGCTCTCCACACTATGTTAGTTCAAGATAATGCACTGCTGCTTGCTGATAAACCTAAGTGAATTCGCGATAACACGCCACTTATTTGCATACTTCAATATCACTAGTAGCTAATATAACAACATATACATACATATTGTGACGGAAAAGTGGTTCAAACTCTTTGACATCATGACGTCAATGGATGGTTGTCAAACGTTGCCTAGAGATTGTAAATTTCGTCGTGAATTGTCAACACGAGTTGGTGTAATCGGTAAGGCGTGTGGATTACACCACAGAGACTCCGAGTTCGAGTCCCGCCGTAAACATGAAGTTTTTTAGTTTATAGAAGTTTTGTCGAACTTTCTGGAATTATTTGTGTGAAAGAAATGAAAAATTAAAGAGCGAGAAGGAGAATAAATAAAAATGAATAACGAAATTATTGGAAGGTTCTGGAGGCATGACGATCAAAAAGAATAACGAAATTGAATGTTCCAGAACCTGACCGGGGGTATATAAGCGGAACTGCGGCTCACCGCTGGCAGTTGAGTTCTAAGTCTAAAGCGATTCGGAAGAAAAGGAAGAAGTGAAAAAGAAGAAAAGTGAGTGAAATAGTGAAGTGCAGTGAAATAGTGAAGTGCAGTCAGTTAAGTGAGTTAAGTCAGCGTGAACGGCAAAGTTGTGTCAGTCGGCCGGACTCTGCTGGAGAGGAACGCCGATAACTTAACTCCGTGGACGCTGTAACTTAAGTGCAATAGAAAGTCTGAAAACCGGTATTAGTGTTTCATTTCATCCAATCCCGTAACCCAAGCCCGCATAGTCAGGAACGTGACGTCAGGCACGTAACAATATAATCATTTATCTTTAATGCAAACTATTGTATCTATATTATGTAGTATATCGAAATTCTAATTTGTTTCACCATACATGTGCTTCGCTCGTTCCGCTATGAGATACATAACAAACAATTTGAAATATGTATTAAAGAGTTGTTCAAATAAAATATTTTTATTGCAATACTCGTGCAGTTATTTATAAAATCTAATAAAACGTAGAAAATAGGCTTCAGGCCAAATTGCCCGCAGTGATTCGATTTATCGGTGTACAGCCCCGCCCGCCCATGGTTTAAACGTCATCAACGTATTTTGATTGTATTAAAAATACTGAAATCGGATGTTCAAAGTGTTATCATGTTATGTATTATTTCTAGAGATTATGCTTAGTGTTCAAATTATATTTTAGAATACAATACCTGCGCTAAAACCTTTCTTCTTCTTTTTATTTCATGCATTGATTAGTCGCTCGTTAAATCATTTCTATAAAGCGACATTTAGAACATACAGCACTTACATGGAGATGCGTTAATGGTATTCTGTGCGGTGTGGAATGAATTATTCATATAGAGCGAGCAATGGATCGTTATGGGACGAGTTTGATCGCTTCGTGCGTTATCTAAGGGCGGTGTTTTATGCGAGTGCCTCATAATGGCTGCACTCCGATATTGATTGCGATAGCTCCCTGGTTATTATACTTGTGTACTATCGAGCGAGGATCCATTCTACTGGGTTCTGATACGTGATAACTATGTGGACTACTGTGTCAACAGTTCCTGCAGTGATGTGCACAGTTTTATTTTATGTGTGTTGTATACCTATTTATCGTTTATACTTGTAAGATAAGGTTCCTTTGCGTGTCGTGGTGGGCCGAAGGTTAAGGCCTGCTTCTCATGCATGAGGAATACGAACAGCTGTGTGACTTCTTCCGATTTAAATATACTTTTTAAGATACCACTGACATACATAGAAAAACCATGCTAGAAAATCTGGACTGGAAAAATAATAATAATAAGACTCTTGTGTTTATGAGTTATGAAGATACAGAGACAGGTACACAATGAAGTTATTGAAGGCCAGTGACAATGGACAAATAAACTATTATCTGGGCGGTACAGATTTATTAGAGAGCGTTGCTGACTAGATCCTGTAAAATATGTAGTACTGTAGTCGGCTCTTATTACACCGGCGGGAAGATTCGGACTACAGAGAAAGTACAAATAGTATCCGTGCCAAACTTTTTATTATTCCAACTTGTCGTTAGCACGCAGCAAACAAAACTGTACTAAGGTAAATGCACCTTATTCCGCGGGGTTCTAAAAATGGCATCATATTCCGATGTATTTAGAAAAACAGTTTTTTAAAGCAATTTACTAGCTATTAATGGTCTGCATGATAAAATAATGAATTAATAATTATCTGTTCATATTTATTTATACAAAGGAGAGTTGAGTATGGTCACACTGTAAAATAATCGGTCATTTTGCCGCGGGGAGCGGCGTCGAAAGCACACTTCATACATTTGGGATCTTATGCACGTGAGTATTACGATTTGCCAAATAGTGTTTTACGTAATAATTTTATACAACGCGAGTTTTCGTTTAGGTTGAAATATTGAAAGGATAATATTTTTTATCGAAAACACTTAAGATTTGAGTATTTTATTTGCAAATTAGCAAGAAAATAAGTGTTTAAAATACCGCGGCATTAGGTGCAAAATATTTTAGTGTGTTCCTAAAAGCCGATGTATACCACGGAAAAACAAATTTAAAGACATTTAGTTTTTTTTTAAATTTCGGTGTCTGTTTTATGATTATAAACTTTAATGTGTTAGTTCTGACTTAATGAATAACTCATACATTTAATAATCTATTTCCGAGGTACACCGTGGCGTTGCATTTACTAATTATAGCAGGTCAAAAATTGTTTGTACAGGTACTTTATTAATACGTTGTATAGAAGATTTTAGTGAAGACATTAGGTTTTATAAGTGTTCTGTTATTATATGTATGTACTTTATATTTGTTTTCCTTTCATATTGTAACTATACATTATTTTATTTGCATAATATTAAAAAATCTTTTACTTTTTAGTACTCGGAATTAGAAACTTTGATTTAGCATCATAAAACGCTATTCCGATGTATTTACGTCGGAATAAGGTTACATGAGTACCTAATTCCGATGTATTTACGTCGGAATAAGATTACATGAGAACCTAATTCCGAAGTTAGTTAAGACCCTGTTTAAATACAGAGTGTTCATTATTTTATGTGCTTAGTAGATACGCGTTTAGTAACTGAAAGAATACTAATCGTCTATACAAATACATAAAATTGGAGTTTTTACTTTATGTATTCCTTTTTTAGATATTATTAATTATGTTATTTTACTACATTGTTGAACTTTAGTTCCTAAGAATTGTTTCTGATCTCGTAATACGATCTAATTTTGATAATGATTATAGCAATTGTTATACTTTTAAGTTTTACATTATTTTTGTAATGATACAATTAGATTTTAATGTCGATTTTGTTAATTCATTTTTAGAAGATTAAGGAATAATAATAATAAAAAACAGAGTTTAGAATAAAACTAGAATAAACAAAAAAAAGAACTGATTTAATATAAAAAATAAACAAATTTGGATCTCGTAATAGGCTCTAATTTTGATATGATTATAGCAATTGTTATACTTTTAACTTGTAAGTACAAAAATAATAATAATGTAATTATTTTTGTAATGTATATATTTATTTTTTTGTAATGTATGTAATTATTTTTGTAATGTTATGTATATATATAATTAGATTTTAATGTTGATATTGTTAATTCATTTTTATATTTTTATAAGATTAAGGAATAATATTTATAAAAAACAGGGTTTAGAATAAACAAAAACAGAATTGATTTAAGTAATATAAAAAAAACAGATTTGATTTTTAAACATCATGTATAATTCTCCCTACATAGTTCCCTTTCTATTTTTATACTCGGAATTAGGAACCAAATGCATCGGAATTACGATTTTTAAATCGGAATTACGATTTTTAAATCGGAATAAGGTACCTCGGACTTTTTTATATTTTTATTTATTTTATCAGCTTCAATAACCTTCTACTGACAAACTGCAAATATTTTTCAAAAATTTGATAGCTAACACTTCTGATAAAAATATAAAATTGTACACAAAGGTCCGATAAATACTTAATTTATAATGTTCTTTCGTGTTATGTTAAAAACAGCGCGGAATTAGGTGCCTTTACCTGTATCTTAATTCAACGCAAAGCGTTATCGTTCCAACAGGTTTATTTGCAAAAGTAGATCCGTTAAGTACCTTTCCAATAGAAACTGCAACAGTAATCCACGCTACCGACTAATTATACTTCTCACATTGTATTCGTAAAGTCAAAAAACAAACTAACAAGCTGAAATTTGTGTTATTGGAGTACATCACTATTGTTTCGGTAGGATTTAATCAAAAGTTTAGCAGATAAACAGGAGCGCCTCACCGCGCCACACCGCGCCGCCCGACGCCGCCCGACGCCGCAAACACGCTTATATCGTGAATGGAGCCAGACAAGTGGGTATTATAAACGTAAATTATGTAATTTGTTTGTATGAACAGGGCGTGTATGTGCCAGCTCACTACTATAGCTGTCAGCATACATCAGTAGTGTAGAATTGGGGTTCCTGGATCAAAAAATCCAGGAACCCCAATTCCACACATGAAATATACCTACTAGACTATCAATCAGTTGGAGCTAATCGTAAACTTATGATTCAATTTGTCTGGTTAAACTGGTCTTCAATCAGTCTGCCTATTTGTAAGTAGGTATAATCTTCGATTGACATATGTAATGAACTGGCCAAAAAAAGCTCCTATAATTGAAATATGTGCATAATGAATAGGTAATAATAAACTTAACAAAAGAATGCAGCCGTCTTCCAAATTAGGAATACAAGCATACCTACGGTTCGCTATAAGTATACAGCCAAGCGCCACACACGATGATAACTTATATAATATGGATTAATTATGATATCGAAATGACGGATCCTATTCTTCACTCCATTGTTATTGATATTGTTTATTTATACATTTTTATACATATGAAACGATGAATGCATATACTTCTGAACTGATTTCAATGAAGAACTTAATATACCCCTTCGATATAACAACTTAA